TTTCATTGTTAAAACTTGCATGGGAACTAATGTGGGAGCATTTAGCATGAGTTTTCAATCTTGTCTTGATCTTTATATGCTCCTTGTTGCTCTTAAAATGAAAAAATACAGAAAATCTGTTTCAAGAAAACTTTGAAGCCTATTTGTGCATCTTTAAATATGATTTTTTCCAATCTTAATTGAACATAAACTGCTATTCTTAGTGTTGAAATATTAGAATAATAATATTGTTTCTTGAATTATGAAGTACATGATAGAGTATATATAGAAGAGACTCCTAACACAATTAGGAATAGACAATGAAGACTAACTAAAACACAACATCTACTACAAATAGGAATAGGAAGCTGACTAATAATCAAACACTACAATAACCAATACTACTAGAAGTAGTATTAGTATTATTGTCTAACATTCCCCCTTAAGCTGAACTCTGGCTGAAGCAAGAGGAAGCTTGGACACTAGCTGGAACCTGGAATTTTGAGAAGAGAGAAGTCTGACGTGCGCTGGTAGCTCCTAACGTCGTTGGAGGAGAGAGAAGTCGGATCTGCGCTAGTAGCTGCTGACGTCTTTGAAAAAGAAAGAAAGGGTTGATGTGCGCCTGTAGCTGCTGACGTCGAAGAAGAACAGAGAAGGCTATTGAAGGTGTCTGTTTGATTGAATGAAGATCCTTGACTTTTTTGTCTTTTTCTTGGATCCGAGCAATGCCCTATTTTCTTCTTGAAGGGGTGAGTTGTAGAGGCATTCTTTCCTCTTTCACTACTTCCCATCTTGGCTTTGCTTTTGTGTTGATTTACTTTCGATTTCAATTTGTTCAACAGAAGAGAAAGAGAAGAGAGGTTGACGGTTAGAATGAGTGATTTGAGAGAGAGAAAAAATGGGTTAAGAATTGGCGATGGAAAAAAAAATTTGGGTCTGAGATTTTGATATGGTGAATTGGAGAGAAACAACTATCATTTTTTTCCTTTTTTTGAGAAGATAGGATGAGTTGAGAGAGTTTGTGAGGAGTTGAGTTTTTTTTGAAGAACCATGGAGATGACAAGAGAGAAGTTACTTCTTTCATGGGTTTTTTTTGTGTGAATTCAACAAGGATTTTTTTCCTTTTTTTCATTTGAATGAAGAAGTTGATTTGAGGATAAAGGAAGAAAAAGAAAATAGGGTGGAGCCTCCGTCGCTGGAATTACCGGCGGCGGCAGTGGGAGCAAAGAACTCTTTTAGGTCATCAAGAGCGATGGCTCCGATACCATGTTAAAATATTAGAATAATAATATTGTTTCTTGAATTATGAAGTACATGATAGAGTATATATAGAAGAGACTCCTAACACAATTAGGAATAGACAATGAAGACTAACTAAAACACAACATCTACTACAAATAGGAATAGGAAGCTGACTAATAATGAAACACTACCACAACCAATACTACCACAAGTAATACTATTATTATTGTCTAACATCCCTCTCAATCCTATTTGTGTTAGTTTTTTGTATGTTAGTTAGCTTCTATTCTCTACTTCTAGTTGTGTTAGAAATTTCTCCTATATATACTCTACCATGAGTTTCATAATTCAAAAGAAGCAATATTATTATTCCAATATTTCAACGTGGTATCGGAGCCACCGCTCTTGGTCACCTAAAAAAAAGTTCTTTGCTTCCACCGCCGCCGCCGGTAATTCCGGCGACGGCGGCTCCACCTTATTCACCTCTATTTTCTTTTCTTTCTTTTATCCTCAAGTTAACATCTCCATTCAAAAAAAAAAAGAAAAAAAATTTCCCTTGTTGAAATCATAAAAAAACCATCAAAGGAAAAATTTCTCTTTTGTCATCTCCATGGTTCTTCAAAAAAACCTCAACTCCTCTCAGACTCTCTCAATTCATCCTTGTATCTTCTCAAAATCATGGGAAAAAATGATAGTTGTTTCTCTACAATTCACTATAGAAGATTCTTAGACCTAGATCTTTTCTTCATCACCAATTCTTAATCTCCTTTTTTTTCTTTTAAATCTTTCATTCTAATCATCAGTGTTTCTTCTCTTTATCCTTTGTTAACCAATAAAATTTCAAAAAAAAAACACAAAAGCAAAGCTAAGAAGGGTAGTGAAAGATGAAAGAATACCTCTACACCCCTTCAAGAAAGAAATAGGGCATTGCCCGGATCCAAGAAAAAGACAAAGAATGTCAAAGATCTTCAGTCAAATAAACACACACCTCCAGTAGCCTTCTCTATTCTTCTACGACGTCAGCAGCTACAAGCACACGTCAACCTTTTCTCTTCTTCTTCGACGTCAGCAGCTACCAGCGCACGTCAATTTCTCTCTTCCTCGATGTCAGCAGCTAACAGTGCATGTCAGAATTCTCTTTTCTCTAACGACGTCAGCAGCCACCGGCGCACGTCAGACTTCTCTCTTCTCCAACGACGTCAGCAGCCACCGGCGCACGTCAGACTTCTCTCTTCTCCAACGACGTCAGCAGCCACCGGCGCACGTCAAATTTCTCTCCATTCAAAGTTTCCAGTTTCGAGCTAGTGTCCAATCTTCATCTTGCTTCAGCCAGATTTCAGCTTGAGAGGGATGTTAGACAATAATAATAGTATTACTTGTGGTAGTATTGGTTGTGGTAGTGTTTCATTATTAGTCAGCTTCCTAATCCTATTTGTGTTAGTTTTTTGTATGTTAGTTAGCTTCTATTCTCTACTTCTAGTTGTGTTAGAAATTTCTCCTATATATACTCTACCATGAGTTTCATAATTCAAAAGAAGCAATATTATTATTCCAATATTTCAACACTTAGAGCTAAAGTCAATTCTTGATGCTTGTCTTGGTTTTATCTTTTTGGTTGTTTTAAAGAAACATATTTGCTTTACTACTTCATGGTTTAATTAAATATATGTATTGGCAAGTAGTAAGTTTTGTCTAGCCAAAGACGTAAAATCGGGCGGCTTATGAGGGACAATCCATTTACTTTTTTTAAGCATTTTTTTAATATGTTCTTTTTATTTTTTACTCCTACTCATAGTTGTACTTTTTTCCTCTCTTTTAGTTGTTGATCATTTCTTTTGTCTTTTCCTTCTTTTTTTTAACATGACCGACTTACTTTTATAGCATTTTTTAATTTTTCTTTGAATCCCTTATGCTTACTTTTAACTTTAACTAGTTGTTGTTGTACTTAATTATTTTTTTTCTTGGTTGGTTGAAGATCAGAATAGTGAAACGAGTTCTTGGTTGGTTGAACTATCTGCTAGTTGGTTGAAGATCAGAATCCATCCTTGAGGCAAAGGATAAACCTATCCTTACCAAGAAAAACGAGTTCCATTTCTTGTGGTGGTTAATTTGATTTTCTTTTTTTTCTTATAATAACCAACTTACTTTTATTGTATTTTTTTTACTCTTCCATATTGATGTAATATTACTTGTGGTAATATTAGGAATATTTTTCTCTCTTTCATTTAGTCTTTTTTGAAGTATAAAATCAAAACAACAAAAAAAAGTTATCTTGATGATGCTTAATTTTTTCTTTTTACTTCTTTTGTACTTCTAACCATCTACTTTAATAAGAGCTTTTTGCAAGATTTGTTGGGTTTCAGGTGGAAGCATGTGTATGGAGTAAAATTCTGCACAGAAATGGTGCAAAATCTGTTTTGAAAGAGCGATTCTTGGTGCCCGAGTGTTGGTATATTGTCTATCTTAAATTTCTTGAAGCCTTGGGAGTTTAATTTTGATCTTATTTGGACGGAAAACTGAAAAATTCTGCACTTTTAAGGCTAATTTTTGGGTATTAGTGGAAAAACTATGCACTTCTCAATATGATTTTTGGGCTATAATTAGAAAATATGCACTTCTTAAGCTTGTTTTTTTGAGTGCAGAACGAAAATTCTACACTTTTCACGGATTATATGTGCTACAATAGAGAAAAAATCAGAGTTTTTTATGTTCTTCAATGCTACAATATTTGGTCTTAGCCTTCTCTTTGCAGATTTTAGGGTACGAGCATAATAGGATGGAAAGTGATGAATTGATGCCGCGTATACTTTTTTAAATTTGCATTCTCCTTCCCATCCTTTCGCCTTTAATTTTGTTGCATTACTCCCCATCCCCTTCTCTCTTGACTCATTCTCTTTGCTATATCACTAGTTCTCTAACCCGTGCGTTGCACGGACAGTATTTTAAGGGTGTAAAAGAAAATAAAAAATAAATTTATAGTGTATATAAAGACAACGAAACGAAATTGTATTCAATATAAGCATTAAAAGTATTATATACTACTCGTAATATTTAGGAATGCATAGTGAAGACAAAAAAACGAAATTAAAGGTTTTAAAAGACTTCCTTATACACTATATTTCTAAATAAAGTTAAAATAAATGTTGAACTGGAATAGCCTACAATAACATAATCAATTAAAATGTAAAGTCAAACACAATTTGCTAGCAATATCCAATAGTTTGTCTTATAATAATAATTACATTATTTTTTCTTGACAAATACTAAAGTCTTTGTACATAGAAAATTCAGTGTACACTTTGTATGAGATTCATATGTACTTATCAATACTAAAAGTATACTTTTAAAATCAATTTTTTTAATAGATTATCCAGCATACACTTCAAACCTCAAAAAAATTTAAGTCATTAACCCAAAGTTTATTTCCTAGAGCAACATAAAAGCTTGACAAATGGGAAGGGAAAAAACAATTTCACATAAAAGTGGGATTATAATATCATCACATCCTGCTCACAAAAAATCTATTTGAGTGAGTAACATAAGTCTGTTTGAGTGAATAAAAAGTACTTTAAAAGGATAGCAAACTATGATTTGAAAATATTACCTTACACTTGATCTAGAATACTCCACAATTTATTATTTTTTAACGATGGACCTGTTTGGTCTCTTGAAATAACAAAAAAATTAAAAATAAACTGAAATTTGAAGATAAATAGCCAAGGTAAAATGTTTGGAACCTGAAATTGAGACAAAAGCTAAAGAAATGACGTAATCTCTATGTCCGGATCCCCAATTTGTTTATTCAAGGCATGTCTGGCGCATAATGTTCATAGGCGTCTTCTCCCGATTCTTGGTGCCTTTTGTCCATTGCCCCATCAAGATGAGAGAAAATGTAAAACAAAAAAAGAGATCTAAAAAGCATACTACAAACTTTTCGCCGAACGCTATATAATCAAAAGGGATAAAAAAATGCTCACTGCAAACTCAGGTAAAAGATGAGAGTCGTGACGCAGGACAACATCACTTCGGTCATCTTCATTCTTCTTCGTCGATTAGAGCAGCGGCAGACGACGATCTTGCTTCTTTCATCTTCGTCGGTTGAAGCAGGGCTCACACAAAGCTTGAGGATGAGATGTGGTTTGAAAATAACCCTAGAAAAAGCGGTGTTTCTTTAATGAAAACATGTCCAAAGCATAAGACATTATCAAAGCCACATCACACGCTTCTCAGTGTAAAGTCATATCATGTTTTTACTCTTTCCCATAAACTGTTACACTTTCCCATAAGTATTTATTTAAATTATTACACTTTCCCATAAACTTTTATACTTTCCCATAAACTATTTATTTAAGTTGCACTTTTCCATAAACTTTAACTCTTTCACATAAACTTTTACACTTTCCCATAAAGTATTTATTTAAGTTACACTTTTCCATAAACTTTAACTCTTTCCCATAAACTTTTACACTTTCTCATAAAGTATTTATTTAAGTTATACTTTCCCATTAATTTTTATTCTTTCTTAAAAACTTTTACACTTTCCCATAAAATATTTATTTAAGTTGCACTTTTCTACACACTTTTACACTTTCCCCTAAAGTATTATTAAGGTTATACTTTCCCATAAACTAACACTTTTCCATAAAAATATTAATTTAAGTTACCCATATCTGATTTGGTCAGACCATACCCGAAACTAGGGCTGTTCATCGGTCCAGAACCGGACCGAACCGGATCGGACCGGACCGGACCGAAAACCGAAATGGAATAAAATGAAGACCGAAGACCGGACCCATAAATACTCGGTCTTAGACCGAACCGGACCAAAATGTATAAGACCGAACCGGTAAAGACCGAATGGACCGAAGATGAAGAAGAACAAATCAACATATTCATATTAGGGAGTGTTTTGTTTTGCAGCAGATTCATGTTTATTATAAAAGTAAACAAGATCTCAAATGTAAAACACCATGAAACTTTAAAAAAAAAGGCATGACCACTTTAAAAAACAAATACTCCATAGTACATCTGTAGATGAGCAAAAAAACAAACCCACTGAAGCAATGAATGGTCACTTTTAATACTAGTTGATTGGCACACAGAGAAAGATTTGAAGGAGGACACTGAACAGTGGCCACGGTCCCTGTTCAGCATCAGTGGAGGTGTATAAAACTCATAAAAGCAACCCACAAGCTTTGAAAGGTATCGCCCATATGCCAGAGTAGCAAGACAACGACGATGGAGTATAGATTAAGAGTCAACCATAGCTGAAGGAAGCTTCAAGCCATGGTCAACAATGGCAGAGATATATAGATTCAAACAAATATTAACCGAGACATAGCTCAAAATCCAACCAAAAGTAAAGATTGAAACAGCTGAAATGATCATAATCATGTGGAGAACTCAAATTTATTGGTAGATTAGTTAATCGTGGAAGGAGGAGGTTCAATTTGAAGTTGGCGATGGAGGAAGAATGGGGCCAACTTCTCCAAACCAGAAGAAAAAAAAGATACTCCGTAAAAGATAAGGTAGGTGGACCTTGGACTGGGCTAAAACATCAAAGAGTATTTATATTTCGGTCATTTCGGTCTAGACCAAAAAAATTTTGGTCCTGGACCGGACCGGACCGAAACCCGAAATCTTAAATAATTTAGACCGAAGACCGACCCGAAATCTACTCGGTCTGGGTTCGGTCTGGACCTAACGGTCCGGTTCGGTCGGTTATTTCGGTCTGGACCTCGTAAACATGAACAACCCTACCCGAAACCATATCAAATTAGATGGACAGGTAAATCGTACAAACTTTTACACTTTCCCATAAAATATTTATTTAAGTTGCACTTTTCTACACGCTTTTATACTTTCCCCTAAAGTATTATTTAAGTTACACTTTCCCATAAACTAACACTTTCCCAAAAATCAAAACACCAAAAATCTAAAAAAAAAACAATATCTACGGATAAATTTCAAGGCTACTTTACATATATACAAATTTTATAATTTTGTAAATCAAAACACTCAAAAATTGAAAAAATTAAAATAAAATAAAATAAAAAACCTCGAGACATCTTCTCCGGGCTAGATGCACTATTTGTGGTTCTTTTTCTTCCTCCACTCACTACCTCAGACAAAATATAAATGGTCTAAAAATGCATTAAATTACTCCTTAATATAACTTCATTTCGTACCAGTGCGTTGAACGGTCAGAAAATTACAAATTTATGTAAAAGTGTTATTACCACGTATAAAAAATTCACTGAAATAATAATAATAATTACTAACTGTTGTGCATTGTAAAAGAAATGAAATGTCACGAACCAAGAATGAAAATTTTTCTTTGCAGGGATGCAAAAGGTTGTTATGCAAACCATTGCTAATGAAATATGCATTTGTGCAAGCGTACAAAGAAGATATATAGAGAAAGCTTACCAGCATTTATCTCATTCATAGCCCTCTTCACATGAGTATCGGGCTCTATGTCCACAATGAGGGTCTGGACAATCTCAAGGCCATATGCAGGCATAGCCTGCAAAGTGCACCAAAAAGAGAAAAAATAACTCTAAATATAATGGTGTAGATCAATGTATCAAAATCAAAGTATGATTTCTTAGTAGTCGATATCATCACCTTCTCCAGCTCTTCCTCAACTGCTTTGGCTATATCATTCTTCTGTTCAAATGCAGCATCCAAGGTCAACCTCGGAACACTGGCCCTTATCACTGCCCCACCAAGAGCGGACATTAGTTATAACTTATAACTGCTATGCCCATATGCTAAAAATCTTATACAAAATATAAATGGTCTAAACATGCATTAAATTACTCCTTATTTATCATCCATATTTGAATCTTGATAAGTCCGTTTCGTTCTTATCATTTACATCATATTCTAAACGTTATTGCACGTAAATAGTATTTAATCATCTCATAAAATGTGTTTTCAATGAATAAAACTCTCATTTTCGTTCTAAGAGTCATGAAAAGGGATTCCACATGAAATTATCATAAATCATCCATTTTATGTTCAAATACTTGAGAAAAAGGGAATAAATCATCAAGGGATCAAGATTCGGGCTTGAACGA